AACAGAGAGAAACTCTCTACGTCCCCTCCTTTACCCCGCTTTCTCGCGCAAACCCCCCCCCCCCCCGCCCCCCGCAGCCTGCTCCATCTCTCCCCCTCCTTTTTCTGTTCAAGTGTCTCGTGTTCTCTGGCGTCGGGTCCTGTTCTTTTATCTGTCGGTGGCAGCATGCCTTGTAAAGTAGCCGTCCTGTGGTGTTTCTCTCTGCGGTGTTCTAAGCGCTGTCCTCTCTCTCTGTCCAGACGTCGGTCAAGGCCAGGGCGGAGACGCCAAGAGGAAGACTCTTTGATCCGGCGAGCTTCCCAGAAATCGGGGACGGAACACGAGTTTGATGCAGATCACCGGCAAGAAGGGACTCACCATGCCAACGTCACACTTCAATAACTTTTTTTTCCAACAATTTTGTATCTGCTTCATAGAGCTCTTTTACGAAACAAAAAAAAAATACGGCAAATTTTGTTTGCCTGTGTTTACAAGATAGACCTATATCACTGTGGACAGGGAAAAGGAATGAGTGAGATTTGTAGATCAGTGAATGGGTGTGTGTGTGTGTGTGTTTGCGGGTCTGGACCTGTTGGACTGGCTGGACTGTGTGCCTTTTGTACATCTCCCACTCTGATGCATGGGTCAGCGTGTCTATTTGGTGCTGTTTTTATCTTATTGTAATTATTGATACTTGTATGAAATGTAAACTGCAAATACGTGAATTTGAGCTTTCTTTTTTTTAAAACATGAGAGCTGTACATGTTTTCATTGTACTTGAATTTTTGCTTCTGTATAGAACTCCAGTCTACTTTTAATTAAAACCCTTCTCTCAGATGGAGTAATATGTCAAAGTCCAAGAAAAAGGGTTTAAGTTCTACACAAACGTTACAGAGCCACAACGCTTTAACAGGCAGTTGATTTAATTGAAACCTCGACTAAGTTTTCAAAACCACTTTTAAATTATAAATGAACAAACCAGACAACAAAGTACTGATGAGAAGTCTCTGAACCCCATATCCAAATAGGCAAGTCGGAAAAGTAAAAAAAAGAAAAGAAAAAGTGTCATTAAAAGCAGTTTGTGAAAGACATGGATGAATGACTTGAACTGGCAGTAGAGAGGTCCAAATCAGCCGGCTCTCTCCTGGAGCGTCTCCCAGCTGGAAGCAGTCCCTAAAGCCCGTCCTCCTCCCTGGGGGGGGGGGGCTTATTTGACCAGCGGTCTGGTTTTATCGTCGTCACCACACTGGTGGGCTTTGTACTTTTTCACCTCGGCCATGTACTTAGACCAGGCATCGCTCCTGCCCGGTTCGGCCTGCAAGAAGAGGAGAAGGAAACAAGGTTTTTTCCACCGCAGACAGCCAAAAGTGCACAAATCCAGCCATGAGGGGAAAAAACAACAAACCAAAAAAAACTCACATCTGTGTCGGTTTTCTGCTTCTTGACAACCATGCCGGTCTTTAGGAACACACCGCCTCTGCGCTTCCCCACCTGGGTTAGGGGATAGAAGACTGACACCGTTACAGGGGCCCTTGCAGGTGGACTGCCAATGAAGGAAACTACACCAGAGCAGAGGGACTACATTTAGTCTCCCGCTGCACCACCATAGAAAGCATCACTAGTGAGGAGCACCCCTGACTCTCAGTTTGACACTGTCGTTAGACACATGATCAATACTACTGGCTCTTATAAATGACATACGAGTCAAGTATAAAGGCGAGCCAGTTCAGTAGGAATCAAGGTGAGTTTGGACTACATCTAATCTCATCTTACAACTGCTGAACCCCTTACAAAGCTCGTCACAGGAGGAGGGGGCCTCTTTTCCACTGAGCTCTGTCCCTGCTCGGGGGCTCTCGCCTCTGCGCCCGTTCGCTGCGACTCCCTTTTCCTCTTCTCCTCCTCCTCCATCTTCTTCTTGAAAAGCTCCATGAAGCTGCCGTCGTTGGCGAACGCGTTGGCCACGGGGAACGCCGCGTGGCCCCCGGCCGCCTGCACCGGGCTGCGGGAGGGGGACGCGGGGCTGTCGCTGCCCGAGTCCCCGCTGGCGCCGCGGCTCACCGGGCGCTTGCCGAGCGACCGCTTGGTATCCATTTCTCCCGTAGTTTTTATCCCAGACAAGAGTCCAATAAGTCAAAGCGGGAAGGGTGTTCGGCTCGTGTCAAGTATCGGCTTCGTCGTCTGATAACACAAGTCAGGAAGGAAGGAAGGCGGCCAACACGTAGTTAGCTGGGGCCCTCCTAGAAAAAATACAAAAATACAAAAAAAATGCGTTGCCGTAAACGTGCCGCGTCCACTTTTTCTCTCTCACAAACGAAAGAAATAAAAAAACAAACGAAAAACCAAACGAATTTACAATGTCTGCCGCGATAGGTTAATGTTAGGTTTGACGAAAACAAAAGCAGGCGCTGGTTTGGCTGCTAACGTGGCTAACAGAGGGGCTCGCACCCGTTTTAGTGAGGAATTTACTGAAATAGAAGCTTAAAGTAATGCGTTGAACGTAGTAATATTTAGGTATTAATTTACGGCACGCGAATGTATTCAAATACCAGCATTATTTACCAAAAAGCCTGCAGATTTATTTATCACCGCTCCTCGCTAACTTTAGCCACCCATTACCGTTGGTCGGCCATCTTTAATTTAAATGGTGACGTTTCAGCTGCGGCACCTCCCCCGTACCGGAAGTGACGCTTAAGAAGAAAACGTATAAACGATACAGTATATACCCTCTGTTTTTTTAATTGTTTTTAAGAAGAAAACAAAAAGTATTCAAATATTCAACATGTTCTAGTAAAAGGTCAATTTAATGGGTTATGTACTGTAAACTTGATCAACTGTATTACACTATAAACTACAGGCCTTAAGTTTATATTGTGATATTTTCCCTTTATTTACCTTAACCCGGGTTACTTTTATTTGACTAACTTTTAATTCTGTCGTCAGTCTTAAGTACTTAATGGATTTCATATCACGATTGTTCGCCCGAGAGAGAAACGAACAACTATGGATGTAAAAATGAAAGAAATCCAAGAGTATTAAGAACATTTATTTTTTATTTCAATGTAATCATTCAATAGTAAACTAATTGAACCGTGAGGGCTCGTTGTATTCATCACATTATATTGTATGTCACCCAACATCACCAGATGCTGACTTGTTCACTGGGCGATTGAAAAGCCGGGCCTATGTGTTGAGTTTTGCGCTACTTGTTGGGTTATTATATTGTGCTAAATGGCTGGTCTAATTCTTGGCCAGATGTCACAACTATATGACTAAATATAGTTTGTAATAAACAAAAACAAACCTACCAAACTGCAAGTTAAAACATGTCTTTCAAACTGAAGTCCTCCTCTGCTGTTATTCACTTAACACAAAAGGCTGCCAGCCCTGTGACCTGTGCTTGTGGAAACTGGTGCGATACTGCAGATAAATAATGCCTTCCCCACTCGGCTGTTTTGGCAGCTGCACAAAGGATGCGAGAAGTTTGAGTCATCTCTGCGGCCTTTGGATAGTGACAGAATTAGTGTTTCCGCAAGTGGGCCCTGGATGATTAAAAAACAAAACAACTGGTGAGGTGAGTGGAATAGAAAGAAAAACCCACCAGATGCCATGTTTGTCTTACGATCCCATTTATTTGTTGTGCAAAAGTGGAGCAGACAGGACTACAAATCTTTAACTTGTCTCAGATTCCCGTGTCAAAAGCAGCATGCTATGATCTACACGACCACACAAAACAGAGAAGAAAAGAACCCACAAAGCTTCACACCATGCAAACATACTAGAGCTGGGATTCCACACCATTAATGCTGATTCTGATCATGAGAAGTAAACACAAAAATTTGTGCGCACAATAACATGATTCTGGTCAGTGTAGATCATAACAAACAGACACACACTCAAAAACATTTACAGGGATGTACAAGTCACGTATCTGCAGCCTTGATATGGGAAGGCAAAAAAAGACTAGTTTAAAAAAAGAAAACTGGAGGTAGTGCAGGAAGGCAGATGTAGTGTTTGAACTTTTGTTATGCATTTGTGGCTCGACCTTTTTATCTGCCACTCACTTTCTGCATACAAAGGACGAGAGAATTCCAATTGCACTGACGTACGAGTTTCCTTCCTGTTCAGTTTAACTGTAAATGACGCCTAGCAGCAGTAAACAGCCATCAGATGACTCATTGTTTTTAGTCTCATCGTGAAAGGCTGCTGAACATTTTATCGTCCATTTCTAAATCCATATTCAAAAGGATAAAGTGGTGAGTGCATTTGGGTCCAGCTCACGACTAAATAAATTGTTCCAGTCTTTGAAAGAAGGGATGGGAAAAAAAATAACTCACATACTAGGGCAAAGAGACTAAAGCTTGGGGGAAAACAAAAAAAATAATACAAAAAAACACCAGTCACATGATCATGAATCTAAATTCTCAGCTTCTAGGTCAAAATCTATTGTTTGGTTTAAACGAGGAGAAAATGAGGGAAAAAGAAAGGGCAGGTTAAGACACCAAATATCTTAGGTCTGTCTAATCCAAAAAAGTTCATGTCTGTCTTTTGTGGATCACTAAACAAACCCACCCTGTTACTGAGAAAGTGCTTTGGTGTACATATTGTGAACATTTTGAAGAATTCTATTAAGAATATTTAATTTAGAGTGAAAACAAAAGATGTCACAACATACTCCAATCAACGCCCCCATGATCTTAATATGCATTCAAATTATTCAGAGTCAACAGAAGCCTAAAGAATATAGAAAAAAAAAAGTGTAGTGCGAATTGAAGCCTGAATATCTACCCTATATGCTAACAAAAGAACAGGCTGTGTAGCTTTATGTTTTCTTCTGCTGTGTTTGGAACCGCTACAACCTCTTCTTTTTGGCGACGTTCAAGCAGAAAGCGCCTGTAAACGGCTTCCATCGCACTGTGTAACATGAAACGGATCCGAAACGTAAAAGACTGAGTAAAAGTCCACGAGGCAAACAAAGACATAAAAGTCACCTTAAAAGGTGAGCGTCAGCTCCGCTCATGTGCGTTCCAGCTCAGTAGTACCGGCGTCCTCTGAGGCTCCGCAGAGAAAACTGATCCTCTGTGCAGCTGGGAGCCAGCAGGGGGCAGCAGCAGCACGAGGGAAAGGATTTTTAAAAATCAAAAACAAACCAAGAACAATTGCTGAGGTGCAGCAGTCCAGTGAGGGCTTTAAGGCAAAGAGGGGGGGGGGGGGCACCGCCTGCGGCTCTCATCTGGGGTAGTGTCGCATCAGGCCTCTCTTGGCGTTGGTGGACTGCCTCTGCTGAGCCAGGAAGGACATGGGCTGGTTGGAGGGGGTCAGCCGCTCGCCGGACACGTTCTGGTGGAGCGCCATGCCCTGAGGTGGTCGGGTGGAGAGGTCAGATCCGAGTACAGCACAGAGGCGCCAGTCGCTTTTTGAGAGGTCTGTATGCTCACCATGTTGTACCAGGCAGTGATGATGAGCTTCTCCTCCTGGTCGTGTCGGGCCCGGCTCTTCTCGTAGTCATGCTGTTAAGAAATTAAAAAAAGAGGGAGGCATCAGTAGGTACCGGTGAGACTGAAAGCATCCAGAGGAATCACAGGCCTCACTGTCTGAAGGTCTTTTTTTTTCCCTTTTACCTCCAGGTGCTGGATCTTTTTCTCCTTCTCTGTCAGCTGGTTCTTCAGGGCCTGAACGTCAGGACTCACCGTCAGCGGCTGCTTGGGATCCAGAGTTTTGATTACCTGCAGAAGAAAGTGGACATTTGAGAGCAGAGCCCCCCGCTGGCTTTCAGTCGGCTGCTTCTTAGGAAACAACCAACTTCTTACATATCGTCCTCTCTCCACTTTAACATTGAAACGGCAGTCATGGAATTATCTCAAATGTTTTTTTCCTTGATAATCGTGCAAATCCCTGCAAGAATCCAGCCTAAAGTCAGCGTAAGGCAGGAACTGGAAAAATGTTTTAGTTTCTAAAGTTTCAGCAGTTAGTCTTATAGTTCTGTCACAGTGAGACACCAAATCTGATTCTAATCTAATCTATATGTACATATTGTACTTACTTATCATTTACTTCTTTGTTATTGTTCAAATTTGTTATCTAAATTGTCCAGTGGTGCTGGGATACCGGGTTCAATTCCTGTGTACATTGTACTTTTAGCTAATAAAGCAATTTCTGATTCTGATTGTAGTGGTGCTTGTCAACCACCACATCTTTGTTACCATCTTTTCCTCTATGTGCGGCTGCTTTGGGAAATTGGCGTGTGCGTCTTTACCCTAAACTTTTCATCTGAAGCCGAGGAGACTTTTATCTGGTCAGGGCGAACTGACCGTTCTGGCTTTGTCCACATAGCGTTTGTATCGCTCCTCCATCTGCTTCATGTCCTCGTCCTTCTTTCGAAGGATCTCTTGGAGCTCGTCGATCTTCCGGGCCACTTATGGGGCGAAAAAAGGAAGGAGTGATCAGAGGGGACGGGACACCCAGCAGAAACTCACAGAGGAAGAGATCACCTTTAAGTTCAGGTGTCTGGTATCGGACTTGAACAAGAACATGCTGGGATGAGTGTTTATTGAATACATGTCAGCAAAAATAGCACATAAATAGCTTTTCTTTAGATTTGGACAGATTTAGAATTGACCTACACTGAAAATGAGGCGAATATGTGGATGGCATTTAACTCTAAAGGACCAGAACCTTAGTCCAACTACATAAAATGTCTAAGTAGTGCTGCAGGTTGGAGTCCAACACAAAAGTCGCACACCAACTTTTCCATTAAATCTAACCCAATACACTCCTAAGGAGTCGCTTCTGTTTACAGGACCTGAAGTGGTGTCTCTTACTGTTGCTGTCCACTTTGGGCTCCAGGTCATCGATAACCTCTCTCTTCTTCTGGAGGTCTGAGTGAGCTTCATGGAGCTTCTCCCTGGAATGGCCACACGAAAAATAGAAAGTGGTTAAATTCTTAGTTTTTACACACATAACATACATACATATATACCCTACATATAAATACTTACAAATGTTCCTCAAGCTTTTTCTTCAATAAGGAGGACTTCAAAGAGAAAGACACATAAAAAGGGGAATGAATTAGAATTACGCACTTATATTTTCTATATGGCTGAAATGGAAACGCACAAACACGGTATAACCAGTGAAAATCAAGCTGTTAAAGTCAAACCACGGGCCGGTTGGACAGAGGGTGGGGCGTACTTACGATGGCCTGATTTTGGCAGAGTTGGCGGACGGAGGGGGGGCAGGCGGAGAGAGACAGACAGAGAGGGGCAGGCGTTAAAACGGTGATTCACCACAGCAAACATGGGTTAAAGTCCCACACAGCATGTACCAGAAGTCATGGGAAACAAAAAAACAAAAAAAACACGGCACACTCAAAAAGCAAAGTGTTTCCCAAAGAGTTTTCTCCATATTCTCTGTGTACACTTTCATCCATTTTGTTTAAATGGATGTACTTCTGTTTTAACTAGGGGAAAAAAAAAAACTGAAACGTGTACACTGGGCACTGATGGTGCGATTGTAGTTCTGTACTTGGCGGAGTTACAGAATGACAAACTGAAGGAGGCGAGGAGACGCAGAGGCCGGCGTTTCCACTCACGTCCTCGTTCCTGCTGTCCTGCGCCTGGAGGGCTTTCTGGAGCTCTTCAACCTGAGACCGCAGCTCTGCGATCTGCTGCTGGCTCAACCTGGAACAGACAGGAGGGGGTGTGAGAGGTGGGGGGGGGGAGAGGTGGGCGGCGGGAGGTCAAAGGGAAGATGAAAACGGAGAGAGGAGTTTCGTGGTGGGAACCGGTGGCCTGAGCAGAGGGGCAGAGCTGGAGGGGAAGGTGTGAAGTGGCTTTTCTGCTGTGGGCGGGACATGTGTGGAACGTGTCATGTGGATCTTTGTGCATCTGCTGGAAGCAGCACTTGTGCCGCCTGGCCATTCTCTGCTCTGCTCTACTGAGCATGCCCACTCCACTCCTCTCCTCCTGTTACTGTTGCTGAGGACTGCTTCCCACACCCTGGGCCTGGTGTTGCAATGGACACACACACACGCAGACACACACTCAGTCCACCCACTTGTCCACATGCCCCCCCAGGCATGTAAACACACACACACACACAAACGCACACACAATCATTGGACAATCTGGCTTTCTGCTGTCGGTCCTCCAGCCCTGCCCACACAGCTCTGCTGAACACACAGTCCAGAGGGTGCGTTGACATTTCGGCAGATATCACTCCTTCCCTCAGCCAAACCGCCGGCTTCAAGTCCAGGAACACACAATATGTTGGTCCTGAAGCGGGATGGTTGCTTAACACTGCTGAGGCAGGCCGGGCTGCAGACTTACTCCTACCTGCTCTGAGTTTCCAGGGCATTCTTGCTGCGCTGAGCCTCTTCCAGCTCGGCCTGAGCTTCCACCAGCTTCTGTCGGTAGCTTTCCTCCTGAACACACAGCATCTTGTTTTCGCTCTGCAGGCGCACCACCGTCTCCCTGCCAAAGGAGCCACAATGAGAGGGAGAGGCTGAAAGCGTGGGTGGAAGGAGAGGGGTCAGGGAATGGTGGAGAAGGGAAGGACAAAAGGCCCGGACGAGATGGCCGGACCTTTGAACCGACAACGCCCAAGCCAAGCCTGCCATGTGTCACGGTTCAGCTGGCAAACTGCACATTCGGCTTCCAAAAATAAAGCCACGGCTGTCTCCGTATGAAGGATACAGAGCAGGAGTGGGAAGAACAGTCACACAAAAAGATATGGGATAAAAATAATGATGCACATACTTGAGCTCGGTGGGCATAATCTCTGCAGCCAGATTCCCCACTGTGACGCCGCCATCTCCTGAGAGACAGAGAGATATACCCCTATGAGTGAGACACCAATCCACAAAAACCAACCCCCTGAACATACTGAGAAGCCCCACGAAACAGACAAAATAAGCTGTTTTATTCTAGAGAATATAAAGGAAAAAAAAGCTGTATGTGTCTTCAGGGCAGAGAAAAAAACGTATTTTTTAAAAAACATCCAAGGGTCGGATACCTGGGAGAACTGCTGACATTGTAAGGGCAACGGGATTAGGTATCCAAGTAGCTTCCAGCAAAGTTCATCATCCACAGAGCAGAATATCATTGGAACATTTGGCACTTAAAGAAAATCTGCCTTCATATTGGTTTGGGCTGAACAGTACTTTGGAGGACCATTTTCAACGCGCCCAGTCTGCTGCCGCTTTCAGAATTGTTTGGTTTCGGTTTGTACTAAGAAGCATTTACAAACCAAAGACTCAGATCTGTGGACAGATCTACACAGAGAAGCCATGTGAGCATGTGTTATGTGGTTGGATGAGTCCACGTTTCAGCAGGTTTTCATGTAACAAAGAAAGAACAAACAAAAAACTTTGGGTTCCATATGACGAAGATGAGAAAGACCATCCAGCCTGTCATCAGCAAAAGCCAGCTTCTGCAGCGGAGAGGGGCTGAATCAGTATCAGGGGAGTGGATGGCTTCCTCCCCACGAGGGTATCACTGAAACATGAGAAATTTCCAAGACGGCTCCCAGTTTCTCCTCAAACACAAGCGATTAGATCAGTGGCAAAATGGCCGACTTCATTCTGCACGACTTAATCCCCCTGTGTGTGTTCATCTGGGCTGCCCTGCAGTACTGCAAATGCATCCAGCATCCTGAAGAGACAGCAGCCTGCTGAGCAGCTTTTATTCAGCTAGAATAGAAAGGGATCCCTCATTCCCAAAGCTGATCTTATACAGTCCTGCTCACCATTATTGGCACCCCTTCATGTTTTGCATAGCTGAGTGAATATCTTCAGAAATAAATGGAAATGTTCAAAACTTAAATCAGCAGTATCTTTCAATTTGAGGTCCAAAGTAATTTTACAAAGACAATTGCCATTTCAACATAAATATTTTAATTGCAAAGGACAAAACAGAAAACCAGCATGTGCAGTAATATTGACACCCCTCATTAATATTTGGTTGCACAGCCTTTGGCATCAATGACAGCCTCCAAACGTTTCTTATATTCATCTATAAGCTTCTTGCACTTCTCGGGTGGCATTTTCTCCCACACTTCTTTTGCAATATGCTCAAGCTCTTGTACATTTGCAGGGTTCCTTTCTCCAATGGCAGATTTCAGCACCCTCCAAAGATTCTCAATTGGATTGAGATCTGGAATCATTGCTGGCCATTTTAAAACAGTCCATTTTTCCCTTTCAACCATGCCTGCGTGTTTTTGGAGGTGTGCTTTGGGTCATTATCTTGCTGGAGGACCCAGGATCTTCGCCTCAAACCAAGTTTTCTTACGCTGGGCAAGACATTTCGCTCTAGAATTGCTTGATAATCTTCTGATTTCATGATGCCTGTGATACGGTCAAGCCCTCCAGTACCAGATGCCGCAAAGCAGCCCCACAGCATTATGGATCCTCCACCATGCTTGACTGTTGGTATGGTGTTCTTTTCTTTAAAGGCTTCATTGCACCGTCTGTAAACATATTGTTTGTGTGAATTACCGAAAAGCTCCACTTTTGTTTCATCTGTCCATAAAACGTTGTCCCAGAAGGCTTGAGGTTTGTCCAGGTTCTCTTTTGCGAAGATCAAGCGTTCTTTTTTATGTCTTTTCTTCAGCAATGGGGTCTTCCTTGGCCTCCGCCCATAAAGCCCCACTTTGTTTAGTGTGCGCCGTATAGTACTTGTTGAAACAATCACACCAGACTGCTCCAGGTTGGTCTTTAGGTCTTTAGATGTTTGACGTGGTGTTTTTTCCACCATTCGCACCAACCGTCGAAGACTTCTGTCATCAATTTTTCTCTTCCCCCCAAGTCCAGGGAGGTTCTTGACCGTTCCATGCCTGGAAAACTTCTTAATAACATTAGGCACCGTTGAAACAGGGATACCGAGGTCTTTGGAGATGGCTTTATACCCTTTGGAGGTCTTGTGCTTACAAATAATAGCATTTCTGGTGTCCTCAGTCAGCTCCTTTGTCTTTACCATTGTCACATGTGAAGATGGACTAACAGGTGGATTTTAAAGTACCAACATGATCATTCATTGGTTAATTCATGTCACATGTGTGGAGGTAGTTCATCGCAAGTGATCTTTGTTTGTGATTTGCAACAGGTGAGCCGAATTGGGTTTTCATACTGATTTGCTGCAAAGGGTGCCAATACCATTGACATGGTAAACATTATGTTTTTCTTTGTTTTCCTCATAATGTTTATCTTTTTAAATGTTTTTTATCATCTGCTGTTTTGCATTGAGCATAAGCTATCAGCAGTAAAATGTTGTTTCACTTGATGAATTTCCTTCAAAAAATATTCCACTATATGTACTTAAACTTCATGGGTGCCAATAATGGTGAGCAGGACTGTACATACAACTACAAATTTGGAAAAATGTTAGTTTTTTACCAGGATACCGTTGTTGATCAGGTAGGACGGTAAAGACTGAAGGGGTGACACACCCACCTGCTTCGCTCAGACACCTCTGTTGGACCTGTGCACACCGGAGCTCGTCGTTGGTCTCCCGCAGAGTGTCCCTCTCTGAGATCAGTCGCTAAAGAACAAAACAGTATGCCACAAGACCATCAGCCAGTTCACACTTTGTCTTGGTCTTAATGATCTGAGTGATCAGTTTGTAAGGCGTGAAGAAAGACACAAGCTCTTTTTTAGATCTGAGCATCTATTCAAAGCCCTGAAGGCTTAGACTACAGATACACGTGATGCCATGTTTGTCTAATCTGACGTGTTGACTCACTTCTTTCTCCTTCAGCAGTGCGTCGTACTTGTCGACGAGGTTCCTGAACTCGAACTGCCACTTCTCGGCTTTCATGGCCTCTGCTGAGTGTTTGGAGTGCAGCTCGTGAGCCTGCAGGGGGGTCAGAGAATAGGGGGGTCTGTGGGTTTTTCCTCCAAACACAGCAGGCTCCATTCAGCTCTGTGCGGCCAGAACAGGTGAGGCCCCGCCCCCCGCAGCTTGCCTGTCTCTTGTAGGTGTCCAGCTGGCCGCGGACGGCGTTGGCCCTCCGCAGCTCCTCCTCCAGCTCGCAGGTGCGCTGCATGTAGACGGTGTTGCGCTCCTCCAGGAGGCGCACCTGCCGGCGCAGGTCCCCCAGGTCCTCCAGCTTCCTCTTGTAGGTCTCCACCAGACCTTCCAGCTGGTTCACCCGGTCGGACGAGTGCCTGAGGGGGGCGAGCCCAAAGAGGACGCCAGGGTTGAAACGTGGTAAAACACACGGACGCCAGAAAGGGCCTGAGCACTAAACCTGCTGTATTCTGATGATCCAAAGCAGAAATCATCCTGCATTTCAGTACGATTAAGCCCGGTAATAATAGTCAACAACTATTTCCAATCTGTTTATTTCACATAAGAAAATTATATTGAAAACACTTGAATTCCGAATTAATTGTATTTTTTTTTAACTGCAAAGCACGAGTGCAAAATCCTTCAGCGTCCACGGGACTCGACGCCCACCCGCTGTTATTTTCAGCTGTTTCGCCGTGAACAAACTGGTCAGTTTGTGAAGGGCCTGCACAGCCGATTACATAAATCTAGGTGCGTTTTAAGTTTTGGCTTTCAGTGTGGTGACCTCCTCACCTGAGGATGTCCATCTCATCTTTGAGGGCCTGGGCCTCATGTGCCAGGCTGGTCAGCTCCTCGTTGCGCTGCTGCAGGTCGCTCACTTCGCGCTCCAGCATCTCTGCCCGCACCCGCATGTCATCTCTGCTGTTCTCCAGTCTGGCATGGGTTTACAGAAGTGGGTGGACTCAAAAGAAAATTGACTCAAAAGCACTTGACTGGGCATAAATCCTAATGAAAGAAAATCACCATTAATATGCCTTTCATTTCCCTATATATTGCTTCCAAATGGCTATAATTTCTTGTGATACCTTTTTCCAATCACTGGTTCCACTGGTTTTCTGAGGGTCTGAAGTCGCTGTATGTATAATATCAGTGTTTTTTTTTTTCTTCATGTAACCCTTTACCACAGCCGGATGAATCATCAAAGCACAAAGAGTCACCTAACTCAATATCATGGAAGCAGAGTGGGATCTAAAGGCAGCCGACATCATAAGAAGAGCTTTAGAAGCCTGGAGAGCTATTCCTGATGACTACTTTGCTGAAGAGCAAACAGGCTAAAATATTTGCCTTAAAACTTGTTAGAACTGTAAAAGTTGTCTCCTAAAATGCATTTCCACTCGTTTGCACAGATTTAAATAAATCCCTACTCCTCTTTTGTTTTCCAGGCAAACAAAGTAATGGGGCATAGCAAGAGACTTGAAAAAAAATAACTTTATCTCACTCTACTTTCCCAAATCCAGAGTGAATTTAAAAAAGAAAAAGAAAAGAAGGTGTTAATTTCATTCCACATTAGCACTGAAAGACTAGTCTCTTAAAGCCTGACTTGCTTTTCGAAGCGACTCATCTTCCACGGAATGTGGTACCTGTAATTCTCCTCCTGTAGCTGCTCCATCTGAGTCTGCAGCAGCAGCAGCTTCTTGCCGGTGATGGTGGAGGTGTCCAGAGAGTCGCAGCGGCTCAGCTTCTCTTTCAGGGAGCGGACCTCCGACTGTAGGGATGACTTCTCCTCCAGACCCAGCGACAACTGTTAAAGAGGAGGACACACATGTTGCACAAAGAGGAGTCTGTGATAGAAAATGTGCTGTTCTGACGGTATAACGGAGAAAAAGACAATCTGCAGATGGAGAAAAAGAGAACACTCAAAAAGGAACAGAGAAAAAAAAAGGATGTATCAAAAGTCCAGAAGATAGAGTAAAATCAGGATGTGAAGTACTGCACTGATAAAATGATAAGCTAAACATACACAAAAGTCACAGTGCTGATGGAGAACAGCTTCATAACAGGAAAAAAAAAACACAAGACGCACAACGCCAAGCTCGCCAAGGGTTGTGCTAACAGGACTTTAAACACATGCTTTGTTGGCATTTCACATGCTCTGCCATCAACAGTACATTAGTCAGCTGATGTGTGATGTTCTTAGGCAGATGGAACTCCAGCCTCAAGGTCTAAAGCAGAGCCTCGTGATGCGTACACATAAAAATACATGGCTCATTTAAGGAGCACAATAACCTGCTTATGTTGTTAATGGCTGGCCGAGGAGAGAGCTCCTCACTTCGGGCTGATGAATCAGCTGAAATAAATGGACCAACTGCAGTTTTTAGCTGTATTGTGAAGGATGCATTAAGAGAAGATTGTGCTGCAATTATAAGAAGAAAAAAGGTGGGAAAGTATACTTTCCTAAAAGGACATTTTTACAATTTGAACACAGCGAAACCACACACTGAACTTTAAAGACAGATTGGACCAGTAACACTAAATAGCAACTAAAACAACACCAGTGACTAATCCCTGAAGCGTGGGTTGAGTAAGTAAACAAACAGGTGGGCTGGGAGCCGGACAAATTATTGTTGGCTACTGCTCTGTCCCAAGGCAATGTGTCCATTTTATCTTGATGTTATGCAACTATTGATGAGAGAAAAAAAAAGGGAGCTAAATTAGTCCCTCCAGTTTCCAGCGGGCTGATCAATAAGGGAAAAGCACACACATTCACCAGCACCAGGCTTCTGAGGCTGTACATCAGAAGAAGCCAGAAAGCCGGAGATGGCATTTTAAGACACACTAAAAAGCTGTTATATGTTTGGCATTTTAGATGTTTTCAGCAGCTGGAAAATAAAGTGATGATTTTATTAAAATATCATTCATTGTCAGTGGTAGGATTCACCACTTGTATTCACGGCAGTGTCTGTGTCAGTGAATGCATCGTGCCTGATGAAATAATACAAGCCTAGTAAATTGCTGTAAATTTTTGCTGTTGCAAAATTTAAATCAGAAAAACAAAAATTTACTAAGTTTTACCGTCTTATTGTGGCGATAAAAAAAAAAAAAAAAGTAATATAATTCTTGCTGAATTCGGCTTAGCTGGACTCAATACGAGTCTGTTTGGCTGCTCTGTAAACAGATAAGATGCAGATCACAGTCTGCCGCTTTAATTCTGGAATACGCCCTATTAAGGGACACTCTGCTCATAAGTGAGAGCTTACTGATGACAAATTTCATGTTTAGAGAAACATCTGCTGGAATGGATGTCAGCTCCATTTGGCCAACCAACCTGATGCTCGAGGTCTCGACAGCGTTGGCTCAGGTCCGCCTTCTCATCTGCCTCCTCACTGAGAAAATAATACTTCCTGGACTGCAAACACAGAGTGTGTGATCAGAGGACATGTCATACGCATCCCAGCAGGGGTGAGTAAATATGAAAAAATTATAATGCGTTTGCCAAGTGTGGAGCAAAGACCCAGATAAAAAGGCTGTGGGTTTCACCTGGTAGTCAAAGTCTCCATAGGTCTCTGGGCTTCCTGGTTCAGATAAAGGTTCCTTTGCTAGGAGCTAACACAAAAAAGAAAAACAAGAGAAAAAAAAGGGGGGGGGTATTTAGTTTCTGGATGCCTTTCACTGAGAGGCATTCCTCTTGAGCCCAACAATTCATCCACCCCTACTGTGCTGGCGCGTTTTAAAAAGACAAAACATGTTCCCGAAATGGAACAGAGAAGGGATTCACTTCAGTCCACGGTTTACCCACAACTCTTTGATTTTGAATTAGCCATGACTAAGAGCAGGATTAATGCAAAGTCTAGAGAACGGCGGGGATAAGTGAGGATCGCTCACCTCCTGAATGGCTGTCATAACAACGTGCTGGACCGATTCTTCTAGAGTCATAATCTGCTGGATTTGCTCTGCGTTTGGGAGATGACAGCAAAAATCAGAGAAAGAGAAGCCAAACACAGGTGATCACAAACACTCCCTGGTTTCTATCATCAGAACACCAGTCCTAATCAAACTATAAAAAAACAACATTTCACATGCCATGGGTTTTCTGTGGTCAGTTACTGGTGGTAAACAGCTCACCTTGTCTCTTCTCACAACTGACAGCACAGCCCAAAACGAGCTGTACCAGCTTCCCCAATTCAGTGACGTCTCCCATCTCTCCAATAAGGTTCACATCGGGCAAGTGCTCGTCAGCCACCTGGTGACTGAGTACCTGATGTGGGAGAAAGGTTTGTGACGTTGGGCCAAAACTGTAAACTAGAAGTAACAAATATGTTCATGGGATTCGCCTTGTCTTACATCGTGGTAATACTCCATCACACTCTTCAGAATCTTTTTCAAGTTGCTGACCTGAAAGAACAAAACAAGAAGTCCCAACTCAATTCTACATTTAGTCCCCAAAAGCAGTGAGAAAAACAAAGAAACTAACGAAAGAAAAGACAAACTGAGACAGCCATAGCATATTCTGTCATATCCCACTACTTTACAAATTACCTTGAGGCGCCAGTTGGCCTCGCTCTCCTCCTTGATCCTGCCCAGCCATGTTTCATTAAACCAAAAGGGGTCTCTGTTAACGAGGACACAGGAGAAGTGCAGTGAGGAGACATCTGTGGACATCAAGGTACACGATGGGGGGTGGGGGGCACAGTTTTCCCAAGCACACTGACGTTTGAGTAAAACTGATCATTACAGCTCAATGACATGTGAATAATGTAGGAAAGCCGATTAGAGAAGCTTAAAAGTAAAAAAAAGGCCCTGTATGATGGTAAAATCCTTTTGAGAGGGGAGATATGGGAATGAGGCAAAATACAAACAATGTGTCACAAGCTAAAAAGGGTTGAGGCACACTCACAGATAACCTAACCAGCTCCAGATGCACTCTTTAACCGCTTTCATTTTTGCATAGATAAAAGGATCCAAAACACAGTGGGGTGCAAACAACACAGATAAGCAAAGCTCAGGGAGTGGGTGCGAAATGAATTTGAATGAATCAAAAGGGCACAATCGAATCCAAAGGCGACGCGTGCTTACATTCTGTGCAGCACATGTGCTATGGCCACTCCACTTGTGAGGTCCTGTTTGCTGTTGCACGACGGAACCTGAAAAGTCTGCAACTGAGAATGAGAACAAGAAAGGTTGGTTGTTAAATGAGTAACCCGACAGTCTAAGGTCTGACTTGTGTTTGTCTAAGCTGAACTAGTGTTCATTGCGTTTTCAGGTTAATGAAAAGTCTCAAGCGGCACAAGTAGCGGGTGCTAAAAACTGCTCTAATATGACTACAGTGACCTAAACACTAGAAAAGCTAAATAAAATCATTAAAACCTGCAGTGGCCTGAAATTAACAAAGCATCATTCAAGGAAACAGAACATAGAAGAGGTAAGTTTTAAGTGTCCTTCTTTAAACTTGTGACAAGAAAAAATGTTAAAACATACATCTTATCCGTGTTTATTTGATCCGTCTACCACATATTTATGGAGTTCAATACATATCGTTTGAAATTGAATCTTACAGCGTGCTTTGCTCTGTGGTTGACAGATAACAAAAACCAGATTCAAAAGCATTAACAAATGTGAGACGTATAGTTAACGGCAGCAACAGCAGAATTCTAATGGCTGTGGATGAAGGAGCATTTTGACATTTAAAAAATCCTAAAAAGCTTTGATTGTTTTTTGCTGACAAAAGAACATGCATGCCACCTTAATGCCACCTGCTCTAAGGCGAATTAAAACAAGTGAATGAAAGTAAGAAGGAAAGTAAGAAAGTGAAAGAGAAATACAGGGAGACAGAGATAAGTAAGCAAGCAAGCATCCATCTATCTACAGAACTTGCTTAAGGAGGAAAACTAGTGGCATTTTTTACATACCCCTTATCTCATTCTCCAGTTTGCACCCGCTTTATTCCTTCCTAACATCCATCCCACTAGAACTGCGAGCAGAGGAGGTGAGGACACAGACCAGGACAGAGGAGGCGAGGTGACAGGCATTAAACTAAACAAGAAATTCTTGCCTGGCAGCTGTCACTTTAACCCAACATCAATTAAATATGATGTGGACACGCATTATCTAACCATTGTTTGGTTGTAGATTGCCGGGGTACTTGAGCACTTTTATCAGGTAAGAAGTATTTCAGGAGACGTGTAAAATGGATGTAAGGCTATGAAAACCAAAAAAAGAAGAAAAAAAAAAAAAAACAAAAAAAGGCGCTGCTAATGCCAAAAAAGACTTATTTAGAAGTGTATACATACTGCTTTTAAATTAGTCTTTATATGAATTATAGCAATCCATTTCCAGTTTACCTGGCACTACATGAAGAACTGAGGGCTGGTGCACATTGGTGTCCTAGTCCTTTAGTCCTAGTGATTGCTATAAAGAACTGGTCTAGAGTTATGTCATTCTGAAAAATATGTTTTCTTCTTTCAGGGTCACAGGGAATGAGGGCAGCCTCATGTGGGCACAGTTAAGATTCAATATAATGGGCATACACACTACTTGCACTAAACAAATAATGTTTTCGAACTCTCAATTGGACTTAGTACGTGAGAAATATGTATGGATATTACTGCATTCTGTAAGAAGAGCAGCAGAACTGTCCCAGAATGGGTACTTTTTAAAAATATATATGTGAGTTTGTTCAACTTATCCATTCCATCTGCCACTGTCTCTTTTATGTTCTGTTTTATCTTTGCATTTCAAGGTGGTAGGGAAGTTTTAAATCAAAAACAGCTGCTGCAAAAGAGAGAGTGTGTGTGTGAGAGAGAGAGAGAGAGAGAGAGAGAGAGAGAGAGAGAGAGAGAGAGAGTCAGACGATAATTCTGAAGAGTTCATTAAATCAAATCTAAAATGACATAGGTTAGACTTGCAGTCTTTAACAGGCTATTAATACCAGCTGCTTTTCAGCCCTCCACTTCTTCGCCGTGGAACTGTGCCAAACAGGTGGATTTGAGCTTGAAGAGAAAGTTCGCATGTTGGATAAACCAAAATTGCCGCTTAAGTCGGTGAGCTTATGCTAAGCTGTTTGGGGTTGTTTGTCAGGGAGTCAACTTTGCTGACACCGCAGTAACTTCAGCGAGACCTCCCAACACCAAACACCCAACATGTTTACAGCTAGTTAGCTCGACCGGCTAACGAAGGCTAAGGCAACACAAATTCCCGTAACCACACATGGATTCTGGGGTAGAACCGCCGGGGATAGTGGGTTTTATAGACGGTGCGGGGTTTATAGAGTCAGGAAGTTACGCCGTATCCCCGTTAATTTGACACCTGCTCTCACCTGTTAGCAGCCGGTTGCTAGCCTGGCTGGGAAAAAACTTGCTCATTTCAAACTTACCCAGGTTAAAAGCGAGTCGCACAGCTCGGCTTTGTCCAGACTCATTCTGCCGTGACCCGTGAAGCCCGCAACAGCCAGCAGAGGAGATATAAAGTGGGCCCCGAAGTTTGTTAGTCAGTCCTGACACTTTCCACGTCAGACTACCCAGCCATGGCCTCCCACTGTTGCCCCTGCGCGCTTCGCGTTTCGCTCCCTATTATCCACGCGAGCTTCCGTATGAAGAGCGTCACCGTGGAAACGGGTTTTGTTACGGGTCAGCGTGTCTGGTCACCGAAAATAATGGTCATTATGAGAACAATAGTCTTCTTTTCTTAATGCTCTCATAACAAGGTTGGCTTAAATTGTTATTCACAAACCCATGATTCAAACAAGAGAGTGTTCGTGAGATGACATATTTTTAACGTAAAAAAACCGGTTATTAAGGAGAACATTTAAAAAGTTCGTCTATAAATTGAAAAAAAGAACAGCTGAACATAAACTTTAAACCATCCAGTTCGAAAGAATTCACGTCAAGGTGATTGGCCGCATTTAAACAAAAATTAATTTAAGTGGTTTTAAATGGGTGTTCACATTGTTTACAGCTCCTAAAACAAACTTGGATAGTTCTCAAATTTGGGAATAACACACAGAAAACACCTCCATAACACACGACCAGCAAACCCTGCTTTAGAGGATTTTGGTGTACCGCTGTTTTGAGGTATTTCTTTCATATATGCAAGACATAGGCCCTAACAATACAGGGCTATAGAAGATGGAGACTTAAACCAGTATAGGTGGGACATGAGCCTGGCAGTGTCTATATGCTTCTCTGACAACGGTAGAAAGAAATTACAATATATATATAAATATATACAACAATATTCGAGGCAGGATGAATATAAAAGCACGACCACCATTTCTAGTTAAGGACAAAAAAGTAAGAGCGTTGAACATGTTACCAATCTGATAAAGAAATAAGATCAAACTAAACATTCACATGCTGATCACGGTTCATACCGATCTTCATGTAAACACCAAGGTGGGTTTAAATGAACAAATGACAAATGTTTGAGACTCTGCCACCTTTGGCCAGACCAGTACCAGAAGGTGAGATATCCTCATTAGCCTGAGAAGAGCATATGATCTGCATAACAATGGTACAGTATGCCCTCAAATATACTTGAGAGGAGGCATTATTGGACATATGGAAGTTTGGTAACAAAAATGAATAAATAAAGAGGTTTTGGGTAATCAAGGGGGGCTTCTAACTAACAAAGCCTCCCTTGGCAAAGCAATTTTGCTCAGCATTGCACGGTACGCAGATGTCAGTTCTACTACCATAACGCTGAACAGGACAAGGGGAAAAAAAAAAAAAAAAAAAAAAAGAGGAGGCAAGCAGAAAGGGGAGGAAACAATGGGCACAGAAATACATTTTTTATGATGCTCAAGCACAAAGCATATGAAGGCAAAGCTGAAAATAGGAGATATTCAGTCTAATCAAAATATATTTTTTCAATAAAGTGTTTTGCTAATTGATTGATAGCTCTTGTTTGAATCCATTAGAAATCCATTAAAAAGCTCCAAATTTGGGAAACTATTGATGAATGTTCTTGAAGCAGCAAGCGTCACCAGAAAAGCAATGAAGTACAGAATGTTTTGGGGTTTTTTTCTATTTGCAAAAAAAGCCCATCAATGATTAGTTGTGTCTCTGTTGAAGTCTTTAGTTTTTCAAACTTCCTGAACAAACCACTGGATGGCTCCAGTTAACAAAGAGCTTAGGAAAAGCAACATGTTGCACAACTGCCTCCTGTACTACAAGTCCCACTACATGCTGTATGTCTGAAGTTATGCAAAATTTCACAGTAAAAATAGTTTATTATGTAGCCATATTCAACAATGTAACTGTATTAAACAAACATTTGAAAAAAGAAAAGTGTGAAAATGCTGATTATTTCATGATGATTTGATCTAAAAATATTAAAAAAATCTTTCGGAAGGTTCCAGTCAGTAGCCTCCCTCTCATATTATGAACGTGTTTTTGAACACGTAAACCCTTTCCACAGGAATCAGCCAGTTTGACAGTCCGCCTCTGTTTTCATTCAGTATTTATGTCCCCGTCACACATGTCGCTGCTTCTTGTTTGCTTTGCCAAACCCTAAGTATAATGTGTACCAAGTTCCCCACGCTTCTGAAACACCTGCACAAGATAAACCCTTCCGGTTTTTCCCATCCAAAGACCAGTTTGGTCATAACAGCGCCTTACAATCTAAGTTTACCATATTCAGAGTTCCTGTTTTTCTAGATGGATCTCTTGCCAGGGGAATGCAAATATTTAGCCATCCCTTTTCGCTGGGTCTTTTTTATAATAACCTCTATTCGTTGTACTCCAATAATTTCTATATGTATGATACCAATACTGTGATATTGAATTGTATCTGATCAGTTTTTACTGCTTGTACATTTTTAGTTCTTTATATTTTATCCCATTACAGACTAATATATCCAGTCAAAACAAACCCCTTGTACGGATCAGTAAGAGCTGTTGAGTATACATTTCCTTTAGCAGATAAAAAGCAACATAGCAGAGTTCAGGCTCCGGCTTGAGCAACCAGGACTGGATGAAGACAACCAGGAGGAAGTAAGGACCATGTCCAGGGGGGGTTGAGTGGAGAAGTTAGTCACCCACTGAAGGATAGGTCAGGGCTGACTAATGCCTGAGCGGCAGGAGGTGTGGTAGAGGCTGTAGTAAGGCCAGGCTCAAGCAGAGGCTCACTATTTTTGGCCTGCTCCTCTTCCTCCGTGCTAATTCCTCTTTTCACCCGTTCTCTCTTTCCTTATTCCCCAGATGTGTTTCCTTCCTGTAAGCCAAAAGGCTTTACTTCTCTTCTTTTCCAACCCCTCATTGACGCACTCGCTTCCCTCTGGGGGGAACTGGAAGGGTGGAGGTGGGAGGGCCAGTAGCTAAGATTGAGCAATTATTTCTTATTTCGAAGTTTGTGGTTTTGTAGTTTGGAAAAAAATGGAGATGGTTCCTTATTTCTAAAAAGACATTCTGAAAATGCAATATTGATGTTAGGCCTTCGTTGACCATTTTTGACGAAAAAGCTGTTATGAGTAAGAGAGGTTTATGTATTGAAATGGCAGCTCAAGTCAGTTTGTTTTTGTTTTTTAGCTTGGTAAATGCAGAAGAGCGGAGATGATACACACTTCAATTCCAGAAAAGTAGATAAATGTTTTTGAAAAAAAACTAAAGTCAGTCATTTTCAGATTCAAATGAACCTTTCTTAAAAGATGAGGGTGTCATGATTGGGTATAAAAGGAACATCCACCATACTCATAGTCCTTCCAAGCAAGGATGGACGGTGACTCACCCCTTTTTTGTTCAATATTGTGCCGATAAGTCTCGACAATATTTCTCAGTACATAATTCAACAGAATTTTAGTATTTCTTCATGTACAGCAAAGACTATTGTGAGTCTGGGGAAATCTCCATCATCTGACCTATAACGCCCAAATTGCTTGGGAGTACTTTGGAAATAGATATTTTCCCAAAAACATGCTCATGGGTCATTAAGTCAAGTGCTTGTACAAAAAAAAAGAAAATAAAATACATTAATTTCTCAAGTGGAAATAGGGGTTAAGGTTGAAAAAAAAATGTTTTTCTTCACATCTGAATTAGTTTTGAAATCAATAACTGAGTGTGTGATTGTAAAGCCAGTAAAATGTATTCCTAACATAATCGCTGGCAGTCAGCCAACAACAAAAATTTAAAAACATTTTATACCCGAAATGTGTAAAGACGTTTCTGGCACCTAAAACAGTGATACTACTAAAAAATATATAATTTCTTATATATTGCCTTAGAAACACTTTATTCTCATAAAGTTATAGCTAAACAGGAAAAATTGGATTTATTCAAATATAAAGAGCAATTGTAAAGTGCAACAGCCTTGTCCTTATTTCATTTTTAGGTAAGAGAGCTCATTAGTACAAGAAAAAAAACAACATGCCAGCAACTGTACACCTTCTGTGCTGTGGAGAGAAAGAACAAACACTGCACCTTTAAGTAGGAGAATGCCAACGATTTGCGGCTGTGCCCAGGCATTCGGAGCTGGAATGCGTTGGCAGTGGTTTATTTCCCCAACAGCTTTCCCAGGTGTTAGGGAGAAAGGAAAACAACAAACCACAGAACAGAGGTGTACAGGCCATGGGCACAACAGAGGGTGTGCAGCTGTGTGGTGAGAAACACCCATGAGTCTGATTAGAAAGCCCCTTTCCAGACATGAGGTCACTAATATAGGTACATGCTGTCAGGACATGTAAAACACAGGAGTGGGAGGGGGGACAAAAAAGAGAGATTTATGGCCATTCCAGCTTTATCAGCTGCCCCCCTCCCTCCCTTTTACACAAAAGATTTATGTCTTGGGTAAGGTCAGGTAGTCAGTAATAACCTCACCTCTGGAGCCTGGCAGGGAGTGTACACTTCAAAGTGCACGCACATGAAGACCAGTTGTCCACCCATTAAAAGGGTGTCTGCTGTTTAGAACCAGTTCTGAAAGTTAAATCGCAGCTCGCGCCGCATGCTGAACACATTTCTCCAGCACGAGAACGCTCTCCGGTGACTCAGCAATTGTTGTGTCTGGGCCGCTTAAAAACACCAAACTTTTACTCACGTTATATCACATGAGTCAATCTAAATGATCAAAATATTTATTGATCTGAGTCTGGATATGACTCACGGCGACTAAAGACCCGCTCTGTTCCTTTCAGACTTGCCCAACGTCAAGCCCGAGGCTGAGAAGGAGCAGAAATCAGCCGGCGTGCGGCGTGGATCCAGGCCAACCGTTCATTATAACGAGTCATTAGCGTCCCAGTGTTGGTGCAAACTTAGGTGCGGAGCCAGTTTTCACTCTTTAGGTCTGAGCTTTGATTTACTCCTTGTTTGCCCGTTTTCGCGAAGTCCATGTCTCCGTCTGGCTTTCTGTTTGGAAGCCCTACCCTTTCTCTCTCGCACACACAAACAGGCAGCACATGGCCGGTGTGGGTGAGTCACGGTGGACTGCTAACAAGTGCCTCTTCTCAGGGAGCGTCCCTACATGTGTTCCTGTGACAGGGCCAACCCTCTTGAATGTGTCAGGTGTGCCAGCCTTGTGGGCAACGTGAGACTTGATTTCAATGTCTGCATGTTGGCAACGAACTCGGAA